CAGGAATGAACTGAAATCCTTTTGCATAAGCAAGAGCTGAGTTAAGATAAACATTTTAGACACTGCCAGAGGTTTGGAAAACTGTCTCCACATTCCACACTCCCCTGTGTTGTTGCATATTGTGGGAAAAGGGCCACCAGCCTGGGAACCAAAATGGCTTGTTCTCAGGGTGGCTTCTGCCCATATGGCCGTATAATTTGGGGCAAGTCATTTAACCCCTGTGAATCTACCTTCATCTGCAAAATAGGGATTACTTCATAGGATGGTCATATAGATAAAAAACGATTGTGTCAGCAAAACTAGACAATTACCTTATAAATAGCAGACGCTCGATATATTGTAACTCTTACGCATTCTTTTTTTTGTTTTTGTTTTGTTGTTGTTGTTTTGCTGTAGGGCATATGTGCTCACCAAGGAGAGACACAGAGAGAGGGAAGTGAGAAATCACCATCCGAGGGGATGACCGTGTTGTAATCCCTTCTCCATTCTCCCCTCAGGATTTCAGGCAAGCATGAACACGAGCCTAGTATGTTTTCAAGCCGCTGGATCTGGGACTCAAGTCACACAGGCAGCCATGTGAGCTCCAGCACATTAACCACCATGCCACCTGCTGGCCCCAGTAACTCTCGTTTGTTCTTTTTTTTATTATTAAAGAATTATTTTATTTTATTTTAATTTATTTATTTTATTTTAATTTATTTTAATTCTGACCATAGAGGGAGAGAGAGAGAGAGAGAGAGAGAGAGAAGAAAAGAAAGAAAGCGAAAGCAAGCTACCAGGTCCAGGACTTGAACTGTGGTCAGTCATGCAGGAGTCCAGTACCTTAACCACCATGCTATTGGACAGCCCCTCTTATTTATTCTTTTTTTTTTTTTTTTGGAGAGGTTTTTGCTATAGGGTGTGTGCGCTCGCCAGACAGACAGAGAGAGACATAGAGACAGAAAGCGAGAAGTCACCCCCCAGGGGGGCTGGTCACGCCGCAATCCTTTCTCCTCCATTCTCCTCTCGGGATCTTGGGCATGCATGCACATGCGCCCGGCATGAGATTTAAGCCACCGGGTCCGGGACGCAAACCATGGTCGACTACATGAGAGTCCAGCGACATAGCCATTACGCTAACTGCTGGTTCCCTATTCTTAAGCAATCATACTAGGCTCAATTTTCCCTGTCCATTCCACTAGGTAGCAGTCAGGTTTGACCTCACTGTGGTAAAGAGGGAAAAGATTTACCTTTTGACTACAAAATTGACTTATTCATTCTAAACAGAATCATTCTCAGGGAACATGAACATGTGAAAGGGAAAAGCTAGAGCCTGTTTTCAATGAAAATCCCAAGGAAGCGAGACATACCTGAGGGGAGCAGGTACGAGCTTTCTTTAGTCCCGATTCTGTCTCGGTCTTCAGCTCTTCACTTTCCCTTTGACCACCCCGAGTCTCCATGCTAATTTAACTCTAACCTATCAGTCCGCTCCTCACAGCTACTACCCAGCAGCTTATTTAGGGTTTCTCATTTTAAGAGATTCTTGTTAAAAAATGTAAGACTCAGGAAAATGCAAAATTTTAAATAAATGATTCCACACAACTAAAGAGTTAAACTGACCCCCTATACTTAGATCATGTGACCTTTATATGGAGAGTCTTAAATACAAGGGATTCAACAGCAATATAAATAGAACTGCTGCTTTAAGAGAACTGTGAAATATGGTTAAGATATACACAGAACAAACAGGGAAAATAGCTCCTTCTGTTTTTAGTTATGAAATGTTATTACAGACCTTAAAACCTAAAATACACCTTAAAAATCTATAAGATCTCAGGAATAAGCTTTTAAAAAACTTATATACACATAGTATGTTGTGAAATCTACTTTGCAGGCTGGGAGGAAAAAAAAACAAAAAAAAAACCCAAAAAACTAGAGTTGGCTGGATCTAGAGACACTGTTTTTATGTTTTTTTTTTTTTTTTTTGAGAGGTTTTTGCCATAGGGCGTGTGCGCTCGCCAGAAAGACAGAGAGAGATAGAGAGCTAGAAAGTGAGAAGTCACCCCCCAGGGGGGATGGCCACGCCACAATCCCTTCTCCTCCATTCTCCTCTTGGGATCTTGGGCATGCACATACATGTGCCTGGCAAGAGTCTAAGCCACCAGGTCCGGGACTTGAACTGTGGTAGACCATGTGGGAGTCCAGCAACATAGCCATTACGCCAACTGCTGGTCCTGAGACACTGTTTTTATATCTGTGAAATGCTGGTAGCCACAGAAATAGTTCATGAAATTATAATGTTAAAACTGTTCAAAGGCTGGGCTTCCTGCTTGTATAATCATAAATAAAGAACAATCCGCAGATGGATCTTTTAACTTTTTTATTATGAATATAATGGTGTTGTGGGGAAAATCTTGGGCTACACTTAACATCAGTAAGTCTTTTCCATGGCCAATCGTGGACAATTTGTGAAGTAGTATAGGTATGTTTTCTTTAAGACTGTTCCAGCTTCTATTTCTGTGACCTTTCCAGGTCTATTCTCATTTCACAAATTCATCCCTCCCCCAGGAGTTAGAACTCCTCTTCAGGATATCTTCTTGATAAATCACTGATCAGGTTAAATTAGTATATGTCTAACCTCTTAACAGGAGCCTTAGCATTAGGAACAAATACGATTAACAAGAAGTACTGCACTCTCAAATAATGAATTTCTAGTGGTAAAATTTTGAATCAGTAGCAGCATACAAGGAATATTAACTTCAGTTTTTGGTCTTACCAGGCACTCCAGCTTGGATCCAAAAATTGATGTCTGTCCCCTCTCCACCACTAAAGACCTGAGTGATATTGAGGGGCTGTAGCAGTTTCATGACCTCCTCCATGATGACCCTGGCCTTTGTACTGCCAGTGAATTGCAGTCCCGTGGGTAAGAAGGTTCCTGAGTCAGACTCCATCACCAGACTGTAGTTGGAAATGTTTACCTAAACAAAAGGGAAAAATGTTTCGTTCATATCTGCTGCATCTGTGCTTTCTTCTGAGGAACTATCAATCAACAATAGCCAAATACTTTACCAGCTCACAGGCTATTGCCAAGCATGAGTTGGTCCTAATTTAGAGTCTGGTCTGCATATTACCTAACCATTCTGAGATGCACAATTACTCACCCTGGGATTTGCCAAATTCCAGAGTTGGCTTGAAAGGATTAAGAAAATATAATGAGGAACCAATAGATAGAGTAATGGTTATGTCGCTGGACTCCCATGTAGTTGACTGTGGTTTGAGTCCCAGACCTAGCAGCTTAAAAAACTCATGCCAGGCATGTGTACATGTGTGCCCAAAATCCCGAGAGAAGAACGGAAAAGGGATTGTGGCATGGCCATCGCCCCTGGGAGGTGATTTCTTGCTTTCTGTCTCTCTGGTGAGTGCACATGCCATATAGTATCTTAAGTGTCTATTGTGTATTGGTATATAATTCCTCTCACATGGCAGGGATCTCCAGACAGTGTTAGCCAGCCTCTGATAAAAGAAGTTATGCTCTGGAGACTTAATTCTTTGCACCTTTTCCCTCTAAATAGATATTCCATTTTATTTTAATTGTGAGTTCTGCCTATGCTTAAAGGCATCAAGCTGACAGGTTTGTCTTGGGTTTCTGGTTTTGTTGTTATTCCATCTGTTGAATCCCCAGGGAGGAGGGTAATAGAACAAGACATGAAACGCTGCTCTCCCTGGTGTAAAATCACAGTGCTCAAATCCCAGGCAACTTTGACGGCTGCTAGTTTATAAACTCTTTCCATAGACAGTCTGGTAAGAAAGCATACAGTGATTTCATGTAGCCAGTACTGTCACTGCAAGAGTTTAGAATACAATAGGCTCTTGACAGGTTGCACAGCTAAATTGCTACCTGGCCCAAAGTACTGTAAGTTAAGGCCCTTCAAACTGGCCAGGCCAACTGCTTCCCAGGAGTCATCCACTTCTTCAAGACTGACCAACTACCACCTTGAATGAGTTATTCCCAAGCTATTCTTGGACAGCACTGCTACTCATTTATTATTCACCTAGTAAAAATCGATAATAACATGTGTATAGTGCTTCCAGAGAACTCTCACATCTGCAATTTCCTTTGGTCCTCTTTGACGATAAAATAGACACAGCAGATTCATAGCTGATGCTGTTTTATCAGAAAGGATCTGAGGATCAGAGAACTTAAGTGATTTACTCAAAGCCACTCAGCTGGCAAGTAATAAAGAGATTTATAAAATCCTATGCTTCCCAGACCTCCATACTGCCGTTGCTAGCCATAGGACTGGGTGGTAGGGCATGTCTGTTCTGTGTTAGGATGATTTTCCACTTACATAACAATTTAAGGGTTGCATAATTATTTTTTTATAAAACAGATTCCATTTTACAATGATTTTCTTACTATCTGCCAGGGAAGAGTACCATTATTACAGAGACAAGAGCAGTGGCAGGTTCTGAAGGAGGATTTTGCCAGTTATTTACAGGACTGACATGAGGCTCACCCTGGGATGCCAACACCTTTTGTTGTTGTCATCATTAGTGATGAGAAAGTTAACAAAGTAGAAGTCTGCTTGTATTTCCACCCTCACTTCTTAAGAAATTTCTGTCTTCGTGGTGATTTTCAGCAAAAGACCCAAGGCATTTACAATAAAAAGTGCCACCTCAGCTTTCAGCAGTGACTGCTGCGTTATGGTAGCATCATTAGAGTTAATAATATGCAAAATATATGCATGAGTGTTTTACATTCAGGGCTCGTATAACTAGTACACTGATGCTAGGTCAGCAGGTTGACATATAATTTAGCAGTCCTAATCCTCATCCCTTTTATGCCCTGCTCTACCTCCCCTCATCCTGAACTTTTTCCCTCATTTTCAAGATAAAGAAAAATAATCACATTTATTATCTTACAGAACACAATCAAGCAATCTTAGATGTGAAGGTTCCCAAACTTTAGGCAGATCCCATCCTTCCAACTACAGAAAAATCAGGCAGTGTATCCCTAATTATACACTACTCAGATTAAAAGTGGAGCTAGTTAGCAGCTAGACTATCAGATCCAACACCAATGAGCAGTCTTCTGGTGTGGTGGGCACAGCCTTGGGCCCACTCTGTCCTATTCCTGACTCAGCAAATGATACTCTGGGCTGCCGAGGATGGTGACTGAGCTCTTCCTCTGTCCCCAAGTCATGTTACCTTGGCCCTTTGCTTCTTCTTCTGTAAGCTGGGACAAATGTTCTTTCCAATGTTTAATAATGCCTCTATGGGGACCAGCAGGTGGTATAATGATTATGTTACTGGACCCCCACATAGCTGACTATGGTTCGAGTCCCGGATCCAGCAGCTTAAACTCAATCAGGCACATGTGCGTGCGTGCCCAAAATCCCTAGAGGAGAATGGAAGAGAAAGGATTGCAGTGTGGCCAGCCCCCCTGGGGGGTGATTTCTCGCTTTCTGTCTCTGTGAAGGTTCCCAAACTTTAGGCAGATCCCATCCTTCCAACTACAGAAAAATCAGGCAGTGTATCCCTAATTATACACTACTCAGATTAAAAGTGGAGCTAGTTAGCAGCTAGACTATCAGATCCAACACCAATGAGCAGTCTTCTGGTGTGGTGGGCACAGCCTTGGGCCCACTCTGTCCTATTCCTGACTCAGCAAATGATACTCTGGGCTGCCGAGGATGGTGACTGAGCTCTTCCTCTGTCCCCAAGTCATGTTACCTTGGCCCTTTGCTTCTTCTTCTGTAAGCTGGGACAAATGTTCTTTCCAATGTTTAATAATGCCTCTATGGGGACCAGCAGGTGGTATAATGATTATGTTACTGGACCCCCACATAGCTGACTATGGTTCGAGTCCCGGATCCAGCAGCTTAAACTCAATCAGGCACATGTGCGTGCGTGCCCAAAATCCCTAGAGGAGAATGGAAGAGAAAGGATTGCAGTGTGGCCAGCCCCCCTGGGGGGTGATTTCTCGCTTTCTGTCTCTCTGTCTCTACAGCAAATGCACATGCCCTATAACAAATATCTCTTACTCTGGAAAAAATAAATACTGCCTTTATGCAGATGGAGCTTCAAACACCTTTAAAGAAAAGACTTTCATAAACCAAAGTGAAAGTGATTGCACAGATTGAACTTATCAAGGCTTCTAACAATATATTTATTAATGCTCCCTGGTTCTCTTTGACTTCAAGTAAACAGATGTCCTGGGGGCAGACACTTCACAGTTTGAAATGTCACTGTGCAATATCACAGGATGTTGATAGGCACAGAGAAAATAATGTAAATAAAAGAGCTTTTAAAGGTGCCACTGGCTATATATTTGGCAGCCATTTTAGTAGGCAGATAAAGAAGATGGGCTTTGGAACGATCAGACTGGGTTTGTTTCATTTTAAAGTTTACTTCATTTCTTTCATGAGAGAGTGAGAGAGCAAGTGAGGGAGAGGCACCCTTGATAGGTTCTGTCACACTGAGACCCTCTTCCCCCAGCACTCCAGCCAGTCACGATCGTGGGTGTGTGTACCCAGAGGCTTTCAGGCTGTCATGGGCCCCAAACCTGCAGTTGGTCATGTAGCTCCTAGCACTGCAGATTAGGGTGCCACCACTCATGCCACCACGGAGGGGCAGACTGGGTTTGATCTTCATGTTAACCAGTCTTTGGGGAGGTTTTTTTTTTTCCCCCACTATAGGGCACGTGCGCTCGCCAGACAGAGACATAGAGACAGAAAGCGAGAAATCACCCCCAGGGGGGATGGTCACGCCGCAATCCCTTCTCCTCCAATCTCCTCTTGGGATCTTGGGCAGGCACGCACACCACACGTGCCTGGCGTGAGTTTTAAGCAACTGGCTCCTGGATGCGAACTGCAGTCGACTACGTGGCAGTCCAGCGACATAGCCATTACGCTAACTGCTGGTTCCCATGTTAACCAGTCTTTAGCAACGTGATGTTGGGCACTCTGTGTAACTTCTCACATTCCTCCTCAAGGTGGGGATGGCGATATTGGAACCCAGGTCAGGGAGTTGTAAGAAGCAGTGTACCGTAAAGCCTAGCACATCATTAGTGCTTCAGAAATGGCAGCACATTGATACTGTTCTTGGTACCGGATATCAACACCTGGCAGATTTTCCAAGAAGGTTCCAACAGAAGTCATTCCATTCGCTGATTATAAGGATAGAGGTAGTGTTTTCACTGTGCTTCCTGTAAGCCAGACACTATGTGAAATTCTTCACAATTCATCACATGGAATGTTCAGGCGTTCTATGAGGTAAGTGCTATTACCTTTCTCATTTCATAGGCAAAGCAACTGAGGTCTAGTTGGGGTAACTAACTGTCTCAAGGTTATCTAGTTAGCTCTATTCAAATCCAAAAGCTTGCCTTCTCCAGTGTGTGTCGTGTGCTCTTGATCCCTGTCTCCTAAAAGTCTCTCTCTCTCTCTTTTTTTATTTTTTTAGAGAGAATTTGTGATAGGGCATGTGTGCTCCCCTGGGGGACACACACACACACACACACACACACACACACACACAGAGAGAGAGAGAGAGAGAGAGGGAGAGAGAGAGAGAGATAAATCACCCCCCTCAATCCCTTCTCCTTCATTCTCCTTTCAGGATTTTGGGCACACACACACATGTGTTCGGGGTGAGTTTCAAGCTGCCAGGTCTGGGACTACCACTGCAGTTGGCCACATGGAAGTCCAGCACCTTAACCACTACACCACCTGCTGGCCCCCTGAAGGTCACTCTTAATTGTGAGGTCATAAGCCCTCACTTTATATTCAGAAATTCAGAAACTGCAGTTAAACAAATGCATAAATTAAAAAAATAATAATTCGTGATATAATTAGTACAAGGTCTCCTTGGACAGAATTTATCATCTTTGTTAACAAAGTAATTTAATTAAGCAAAGAGGAAAAACAAACAAAAAAAACCCTCTTACTTCCTAATTTCTTTACAAGTAGGAATTAAAAGC